CATCATGCGATCACAGAACAAGTTATTTACAATCATTTTCTGTCGACGAGCCAGTTCATATTCGTTTAACAATGGGTTAACAAACACTGATGTCTGAGCAGCATGTGGAGAGAAAAAAAGTATATTGCAGTTATGAACAGAGAAATACACGTATTCATTTATTCAAAAACAATGGACGTAAAAATAAATCCCTTGAGAAGCGCCCTCAACAGTTGACAGCTCCGGATCACTCATGGCGCAATCTTAAGAAGTGGGCTTGGAACAATGTGATAAAGTCACCTTTGGTACTGTCGCCCTGTTCACGTGACGCGTTTCTTCTCTGTGGTCATGTGACAGATGTGTCGGCGTAACAGCCAATCTGGAAGTAGGACGCCGTCTGTATGACGTTGTTATGAACTGCGATAGGTCACGTGGTGTGATCACAGAAACTGTTGAATGACAGGAAATGTAGATGTTACAACTGTAATGGATAGCTTCACTAAGCCTTACGTAATGTAAATAATGACGACATATCCGGTTTCACCATGATGTACTAAGTGTTAACATAGATGTAAAAAAAGAAGGAGCACTGACGGAAAATAAGCCTATTAAATTCAATTGTTTATTGCTAAGATAAGCCCCTAATCCCTTTGTGCTCCTGGTCTTTGAACTCGATGATAGTTGCCGTTTGTTTAAGTAAGTATACTGACCGTAATATTCAAATTACACAGAAACAATTTTCCGATGAAATATTAAATCAATTGCGCAGATCATAAATAAGGTCGTTACTCATGCGAACCTCCATGGTGTTAGTATGGTCTATGGTTTCGCACACTGAACAGAGTGCCATGACTACTACCGGTAGTTATATTTTAGTCGATCTAATAATGAACTATACTATCATTGAGCCCGGCATAAGGACTGGAAGTGGAATGGGGCAATTTAGATGTTCGACGCCGTTTGTAATTCGTATATGACGTTAACGTACTGAAACTTGAAACAGTGGTAATGTGTTACGTGATTTGCAGTCCATTTTTATGGAAGTTATATATAGTATAACGTGTACAGACCCATAACTTGTATTGATGGGCGTGGTAGCACAGGCCTCCTAATATAGTTCATTTTATTTTCAAATTATTTGAAATGAATGACGTGCTTACTGGTTCAAAACTGATGCATCCATGCCCTATATTGTTCAGTTTGATATTAGTGAACCTGAAGCTGAAGAGAATATGAAATGGCGAACCCGTAAAAATGAATCGGATATACATATCAGTTTACAATCACATTCGACCCCTCTTTCGAATCCCCAATATACACAACCGATGTTTTTGGGGAACTTGAAGAAGTCAATTTTAAAACTCCATCTGCTAAAGATAGAGTGGTGATTTCAAAGATGGTTACATGAGGGCATTAAAACGTATTGAAAAGCTCTGGGTCAAAATAGGGGTAATTTACTTCACGTTAGAGGGTCATTTCAATGTCTTGTATGTGTACCCCTAGCTCTACGATAAATAATTTCAGTCTGCTGCTTCAAACATACATAACCATTCACATTCACGCAGAACCTGCCTGAATTCGACTGAGTTTTGAACATTATATGGACATGAAAAAAACACACAACCAACATGAAGAGAGTCGTACATGTGTAATGACAATATTATTAAAAAACATCGTGCAAAATTAAATTTAGAGATATATGATAGAACTAGAATTGCATTGTTTCTCAACAAGCACACGTTAATCTACTAATATCACGTGACTAGCTTCTGAGCGTTAGCTTGTAAGATAATATACGGATGTTTGATGTTACTTGAATTGCATAAAATATCACACACTGTATATACTAATATTCTAACCTTAAGAACAGTGTGAAACGATAGCGCCAACACACGACTTTAAGCAGCATTACAAAGAATCGCACTTACGACATCTTGGCATTTTTGCTTCTCTTCTTTTCTGCATTTCGATTAGAGGAAAATTTGATTCAGCGCGGCCACCGGAACTCGGCCGTCTCCTCGCTTTCAGCTCGTGGATTTTTGCAACCACTTTACACCGCCCCTATGTATATAAGAAGTGATATTGTGAGACACATCGTGTGATGAGAATGTATCGAGTTGCGTTATTGAGATGTGATTTGTGCCACGGCTGAATTTGTGCGTCAACCTAGTTGTGAGATATAATAAAAAACCTTTGAATCAATAACAAGTTATTATACGACACTTGTGACTGGAACATTATTTGTGCATATTCAGTTCTAGCTACAACCCAACTCAAGGGCTAGCAGACAGAACTAGAAGGCACTGTGGGTGGACACCTTCGATTATAACCCATCTGAGAATCGCATCTACGATATTTGGAACACCCCCCCCCCAAGAGTGACTACTCACGGCCTTCACTATGATGATATAGTTTGCAGTCCTCGTGTCTTCCACTATCACTGAATCTTGTCTGTAAATTAAAAAAAATGTAAGTAAAGTAAGTTACTATCAAGGCCTACTTCAGCTGAATAACACGAATACATTTCCAAATATTAAAACATGCATTCAATGAGAATTCTAGACTGTAATGCAGGACTGACTAGCGTATGATTAATACCATGATAAGGTATAGTGTGATTTCACAAGTGACAATAATATTATGGTTAAAGCGGGGGAGGGGTCGTCAGATGGCCATAGCGTGTAATTGTTTACAAACAAGCGTCTACCCTTGAGCCTTTGCGTTTTTAGCGTGTGTTGCTGTCGCCGCCTGGGACTCGATTCCCGCGCGTGCGCAGATGACGACCCTCCCGCTTTAAAATGAACGAATAAAACAACATAAAATGTGAAATTGGGGTCTCGGCAAAATATCTATTTTATTATGGTACGTCATCGTTGTCATAGCACTGAATTAGTGTTATTGTCACAATATGTCAATTGTTGTAAGCATTATTTATAGGTACTAAGTACTAAGAAATTAATCTTTTTTTCTGGTGAACGCACTTACTTGAAATACTGATATATAAATCCTTGTCTGTTTTCTCTCAGTTTCTCGACAGGCCAGTTTCTAAACATATCCAGCCTTTTACAGAAGTCAATGTGGTCTTCTCGCTTCCGTTCTAGTGGTACGCGAATAATCCTATTAAAATCCTGACAAAGATAAATTGAGTACCGTGAAGGGAGTATCATAGAATCTATACGTTTTGCCAGATCTCCGAAACCGCTGGTACAATAACCGCCTAGTTACGGTGGTCGGTTTAGCTGATTAGACATGCAAATTTATTCATACGTACTACGTACTGTACGCACAAAATATGCAATCGACGCCTTTATGTTGGTGTTTTGTTTTGTTTTCTCAATGGGAAATACGAATATTGCTTTATAAGGTATAAAGTACCTACCTCTGCATGAATAACTAACAGTTCTACGTCATCTTTGCAGACAATGCTGGCCGTGCGCGTGCAATTATTCATAAAAGCGATTTCCTGGAAACACACGAAAAGAAAAGGAAAGAAAATTAAAAAAATATATACAAAAACATCATCTGACGTGTACTGACGTTTACTACGTATTTATTATATTTATTTTGTTTGTATATGAAGCAGAGGTATTTAAAATATTGTACAATTTCCAGGCTACATTTTCGGAAAATGTTTCCAATCGCGTAAAACATCAATTTTCACTCAACCCAAAAACAATAACAGTCAGTGAATAGTATTATAGTTTCTGAACGGATATACATTTTTAGCGATATTTTGTAAAATTAGTATCTACATTTGCATTTTTGGTGGTGAAAAATATGTAATATAGACTGAATCTGAAATAGGTACCAGGAGGCGTTAACCGTATATTACGATTACCAACTGTGCCACCAATTTGAACATACTGTAAGGCATTTGTAGTAGTTGTGGACTTACACCAAACTGGTCTCCTCCTGTAATTTCTCTCACTGTTCTGACCATACTACGTCCTGTCCTGGAGTCAACTTCCTGTACATTCACCAAGCATGTGCCAGATAGTATGATGTAGAACGCGAAAGGTCGATGGCCTTGTTTTAGAACAATTCGACGTGCTTCGTACCTGGAAAGGTAAGCATGGAACGAAAACTGAGGACGTGGTTGAGAAATCGATATATTTCTTAGCTTAATAAAAAAACAATAATTATCAGGTGGAATTCCCTGAAATGCAAAACTCACCTTTGATACACCATGCACTTAATTAGATCTAACTGCGTATCTAGAGGATACTCTTGAAAAGTTTTGTTGTGGCGAAGCAGCGCCATCACCTGTATAGAAGAGAAGATTTTATAAAACACCGTTTCTATAAGTTGCGCCATCTAGCGGCGAAGAGCTTTTTCTTGTTTATGGGTACTAGTATGCGGGCGAATTCTTTATGGCAAGATGGTGCGGACGGAAGTCTTTCAGGACTCATACCACTAATTGAATTTCCATAGACGACAATGTTAACATATGACGAGATTGCTATATGAAAATGATGAAGAAAGTTGAAAACATGGCTCAAAAATGGGAATTCAACGTGCCAGTAATCAACCATATGAAAAAACTAACATGTTGGCCAGCTCAAACTCTTGCAAATCTCAGGTAAACAAGACACACCTACTGTATTTGGATTGCACCAAGAGAAATCACTGGAAAAACACCAAGATTAGAACATCCAAATACACACAGAATAAACCCACAGGTACACAGCCGCTAAGTTGTAAACAAAAGACCACATGTTGGTCTCACCTTTGACCCAGGTGATTACGCCCTCATTATCGTTGAACAGAGACGATAAGGACGATATTTTGGATTGTTTCAGTTTCAATACCCCGGTCATTTATGAAAATCTAAGACATAGAACTCACCACTTGGATTTCTTCTTTTGATCTATGGGCTGGCTGCGTCAATAAGATGTTCTTAAGCTTCTCGCTACCACGCGTCTACTTAAAAAAAAGATACTTAGAAAAGAATGACGAGAATGTAACGCTCAAGTTCAATATCGCCGATATACATAACTGTTGTTCCAGCTGTTATGTTGTATTTAGTCAGTTAGAAAAAATAGAATAAATATAAGATCTGTAAAATATTAAAATAATAAAATAATAAAATAAAATAAAATAAAATAAAATAAAATAAAATAAAATAAAATAAAATAAAATAAAATAAAATAAAATAAAATAAAATAAAATAAAATAATTTGGTTTTGTTGACCTGTTTTGCTCTACTGTACATACTTCGTCCTTAGAATGACAGACTTAATAATATTAGCGTTTGAAATGAACACAGAGGAATTGAGTTGATTGGGGAGAATCAATATTTATGTTGACAGATACGTAAAACGTATCATTGTATTCACTATCATCATTGTAGGAGATTGTCGATGATAAACTCTGGAGGGTAGATTTGGAATACAAACCGCACAGAAAAAAATTAGATAAAAATACAGAAATACAGAAGCGACTCGCAGCTTGAGTTTTTCTACCACCCCGGTGTATCTCATTGTCACCCCTAATGTACTTTGATAGCGAATATTTCCGTTTGACTCACCACTCTGAACTTCTTGAATAAATTAATATCGAAGGCAAGACTGTCTTTCATATCAGCCTCTAGATTCAACTGCATTTCGATCAGCGACCATTGTTTCGATTCTCCTTCCTTCACGTAACTGTTGAGGGCGATCAACACAATGTATTATATGTTCAGCTCGAAAATAAGGAATAAAGAAAAAATACACATCTCAGTTTCCATGGAAACGGTCGATATGCAATCATAATTATTTACTTCGAAAAATGCCAGCTACAAACGTATGTGAGTGTAGTGCGCGGGATTCGATGATACCCCTTTGAAACAACTTTTGATGAGTTGAATGTAAAATATAGAAAAAGAATATATTCTCTAGATTGAAACTGAAAATAATGTACTTTACAGTAACTATCAATATAACATGTCTTCTCACCTTTTCAATGCAAGACATATTCCTGCTACAACACGCACCGTTCTGGCTATCCGCTGTAGTTTCTCAATAGGCTGTGAAGTAAACACAAAAACCGTTATACGCCATTTTACACGATATTACACCCTTTGTGAAATGTGGCGGGCTTTTATTGCCAGAGAGATAATTACACCATCACAGTATACGGCATCTTGAATTTTCAAGGTGAATGTTCCGGCGAAGCACTCCACTGTCAGGGAGAAATGTCCGAACCGAACAACACCGTGCACTGGCAGGCGCGATGAGTATACACAACTTAGCAACTTCAATGTGTCCCCTCTAAATTCGCCACTGTTAGGTATTGTTTTATCACAGCTGGCTTACAGTGTACATATATATATAGAAGAATTCTGGGAAGAGATCCAGTGCGAATCCATGCATGAGTTTACATGCGTTATACCTTCCCAACAGTTGGTTCCCAACGCGATGATTGCATATACAATCGACTGGAACATGAAAGCACCAGACTTGTAACAGAATATTCAATATGTTTCTCGTCATGTTATTTTTCATTAAATATAAATTTCTAATGAGGAGCAGCAGAAGTTTATCGTTTATTCCATGTTGGTTTAATTTTCAGGTAATTCATTGGGATGTTTGGACTTAGCCAGCGTGACTAACTAACAATCGTCCGCCTTTGTCCGTTTCTGGTCATAAATCCCATCATGCAACAGATCACGCAGAACGCGTCAGTCTGTGGCACCGTCAGATTAATAATACCATAGTCCCTTGCTGTAGATCAAAGGTGACGTCAATTCGATCCGTCGTGAACTCAAGTTGTCCCCGGGATGAACTATGTTATGCTTACAAAGTATGCGTTGACATGATTAGATTATCAACGGAGAATAGCATTTTTAATTAATTGTAGTTTCAATTAAACATTTTAGATTATGATATTTTTATGTTCACTGTTTACGCGAAGATTCACGGTTACAGGGCATAATTTAAAGAAAAAAGAAAACAAAGCGCTCGGGTAAAAGACTCTAGGATAGAGAGAAAATAATGTCATACGCAAAAATCAACACTTGAAATCAGTGTAATGAATAGTATTAATTCACACTGCACTGGAAGAATTAGTACCCAGTATTTATTGGAAATGTTTCGCTCGAGTCAACAATGCCTGGTTTCTGAAATAACAACATGAATTAACTTAATGGCTGGTTATAATTAATTATTCTAATAAATATTCATTTTGCTCCAAGCCTTATATGTAAATAATGAACTAAACTGGAACTAATGCACGTTTTGACAGCTGTAATTATCCAAAGACGAACGCCTATTCTAAAAATGATGACAATCACAGTCTACCCATTGAAATGCAGTGTTGAACAAAACTACGTAAGTACGATAAACGTTTCATCGGGCTAATAACGTATTTCCCGTATGGATGGAGTTCATGTTAAATCTATAAACCAAAATGCTAAAATTGTCATAAAATGGCGGCAATCGTTGCACCGCGTCCTGATCGATGTGGGTTCCGTAGCGACGTATACAACGCTTCGAACACGCTCTGCGCGACGACCGCCGCCCAGTAACTTTATAAGCGTACGCGTCCAGGAACTACATATGACAACTATCACTCGGATAACCAATAACTATGGAGCATCTGGGGCCATGTAATTCAGAAAACCTGAATTATACCATTATACATAATCCTTTTTAGCGATAGAGCCCGTTTATGACGTAAATATCCGTTCAAAACATCGTTGTACTTTTGATTTGTAGTCGTCCGTCACTGAAAATAATGTTTTTGGATATTTTACTATATTCTAGATGACGAGAGATTACATAACCAAACACAGTTTCCTGGGGAGAGAATCGGCTGATCGAAAGACACATTTTGCGGTAGACTTTTCATGCTAAGTTCTCATGCCCCTCCACAAAAAAGGTATTTGACAGCTATTACTTATAGGTCAAGCCGAACGACAAGACAACAATAAAGTGTTTTAACAGTGGAAGTACTTAGTGTTTTTGAAATTACACCTGAACGAAACACATCATGAAACGTTCGAACAGAACGAGAAGAAGGCACCATAGTGACTAAATGTCGGCACAGTTGTCGGTTAGGGCTTTCAGTCATTACGTCATTCTGACGCCACAGCAGCGCTACGCTACTAGAGTGCGTGACTTGTATTATGATTCATTTCCCGGCACGGAGTGTTGTGAATTGCCATTGACGGGTTTCATACTGTCCATATTATCATCACTGGACTTACAGTAATCTATGTAATTAATTCTAATATGTTATTTTCTTATTCAAATTTTATATTGATGTATAGTTTTGCAACGGACGGCTATTTTTGATCAGTTGTTTTTATATATTTTTTTTAAAAATCGTGATTGCGAAACAGAAGCCTATAGGCGAAATAATGACCGGTGACGCAACTAAATGGATGACAAGTGAATACGTTATAGTTCACCCGTCCAATATCCGTATGTATTGTATTGGACACAGATAGCGGGGTGAACTCCGGTACGAAGAAAGACACAGCAAAAGGTAACTTTAAATAAAGTCGACACGGAGGTGACGAGATAGGATATTGCATTATGTTGTCGGCATCTTAGGAGGGGTGAAAAGTTCACGCTTATATATATACGAACCATTAACAAAACATTGCGATTATTGAAAAACAAGTGTTCAGTATATTCGTCAATATACATGTACATACAATAATGAACGCACATCATTTTTCAGTCACGTCGCGCATGCGGACCATAACACACGACCAAAACTGACCCATAACTAGTAGTATTCCGTTAAGAACATACACTGGATCCACCCATGAGAGGGTTTCCTGAAAGGGGTTTACGTTATTGTCCATCATCGCAATATCTTTAAAGACGAGCAGTGAGATATTGTTGACAATAGAAACGAGGGCAGTCTATTATTAGTCTGGTGCTATATGGAATAAGTGACGTCGGAATAAAACAACTCTGAAATAAGAAAAGCAAAGTCAACAAAAACCGTACATCAAGCCAAACATTTTTATAGCATCACTTTAATTTGAAAGAATTATTTCGCCGATCGACGCTAATAAATAGAATGAATAGCGGACTGCCCAACGATTCGATGTCCGTCCAATTATGGGACACGTCAACATAAAGATTTGCAAGGCTGGTTGTACCCAAGTAACGCACATACGTTGCGATAAAAATTTACAAAAGTCACGTCTTGAAATCGAGTTGTCAAATACTTGACATAACCAAATTGTGCACATTGACAATTTCTAACAACTGCTCTTCAAGCGTATCAGAGTTGCAGCATATTAACATGCAAGTTGACACAACGGTCAGAAGGGCGTCCGTTAGATATATTGGCTTTGTGGTGTTATAGAAGTCATGTTGTAATGAAAACACTTTAATAAACAGTGAAGAATTTTTTTTAAAGAAAGGGAAAAGTGCTAAGCTTTTGACTCGTATTTATTGTGGTTAACACGCTCATCGTGAAACGTTTTTACAAAGCATCCGGTTTATTTTAGATTTAAACACACCCCTCCCAAAAAAACACATTTGTGAACTATTTCCACAGATATGCACATTGATACTGATATTGACACCACATGCACATAAGAATAAACTGTTTCGGCTTGAAGCAAACTGGTGTATTTGTATTATGCAATGACGGTACTAAACACAGACGATTTCATATTTTTGGAACTATTAAATGCCGTTATTTTTACTATACAATAGTAAAGTAGTTACAAACTAATGACTAAAATATAGAATA